AGAAATCTGGCATCCACAAATTGGCCAAGCTGGATCTAATCAGAGCTATCAACCAGTGAAATCTCTTAGATACTAATCCTAAACCCAAGAACCCCTTTAAACTCAGCCCTGTCAATCCACAAACACATTTCCTTAGTCATCTGAACAACCCTCATCACCATATATAATACTTAGCCAGACTCACCCTGTCAATATTATACTACTAAGCATGTCATGTACTTATCCATGAATCATAATGAAAGACAGAATATCAATTTGTACGGTTTACTTGTGTTAGCTTGCTCAGTGATGACTCGGTATTTGCACATGTTTTCCCTTTTGTTTCTTGATTGTTTGAGCTTGAATTATCGCGTTTTTGACCTATTTTACGCTAGGTTGTGTTCCTTTGTCACATTTCAGGTCCTAGCACATAAAGTGAAGCATAGGCGCAAGTTTCAAGTCAATCAGAGATCAATTGGCGATTCGGGAGAAGAAACTCGGGCTTGACCTGAAGAAGAATGGATTTCTACCTTAGTTTATGGACAAATAATCATGCAAGCTTGCCATGAAAAGAAAGAGGACGAGACTGCGAGCGTCTGGGATCAAACAGCGACTGATTCAGAGTCCGGACGAGGGAGAAACGAAGCATTGAATATAGGGGAACAGGTTCGCAGTAAAAACACGGGCGCGCCTAAATCAAAACACGGGCGTGCCCATATTTAGGCACGAATGTGTTTTGACCGACGCGTGCGGGCGTGTTTTTAATACGGGGCAAAACACGGGCGGGCAAAAGCAAAACACGGCCGTGTCCTCGACCGTGTTTTGCCCAGAATCGGGTTTTTTAGGCAGATTGAAGCCAAAGGAAAGGGAGAGCTGGGTTTTGGATCCCAAACACCCAAGGGATGAACCAAAGAGAGAGAGGACGATTTGAGAGCATTCTTATAGTGGAATTGGAGGATATCTTCGCCTTGGAAGCTCGAGGAACAAGCCCGGACTTGAAGACTGATCATCTGAAGATTCTTACTGCAGTCTCTCTCTTCTCTATGGAGTAACTTCCCTTCACTTAGGTTTTGAGGAATCCTAGCTATGTTTGTTTGATTGGATGATTGTATGAGTACTCTTACTTGATAATCTTGAGTTCATATTCAATCTATGCATGTTTTCATGATTCAATTCTGCTTTAGTCGAGATTATTGATTCTGCTTTGATCCTATGAGAGCGAATACCTGATTAGGTCAATAGAGCACCATAGATTGATAGTAGTGGATCGATTGCTTTAGTCGAGGTTGATTCACTGCTTTGTATCGATTGAGAACCTCTTTCGATAGAGGGAGTCTAGTTCAAAACGCCTTGATCGGTTGTTCTAGAGAAGGATACGTCCCTCTAGGCAATTGACTCAAGAGGGCCTTGTTCCTTTAGTCGAGACTCAAGGTCTAGTTAAGGATTCTCCGCATTGTGAATGAGAGTGAAACAGGTTAGAGATCATCAATCATTAATCTGGCTGGTGGCTAGGGGGAATCATACCTAAGTGAGTTCCCAACCTGTAATTAGATCAACTTTAACTGTAGTTTGCTAGAGTAGTTTTAGTTCTTTCATCTTAATCTGGTTTGCTAGATAATGAACTGAAGCTGAGTAATAGTAACTCTAGAGACCCTTGGATTCGATATTTATTACTTGAGCCACTATGCTGCAGTCCCTTTCATTGGTTACACTTGGCCTTTGTCAGGAGTTGTGTCATAGTGAGTCATTCAGACTCGATTATTGCTGTCACTTTGTATAGTTGATATTGCACTTTGTATAGTTGATATTGTGCTGCTACTGCTACCACTGATTATGTTTGGTATCAGTATTTTTTCTTTTTAGTTTTCAGTGCAGCAGGGTTTCACTGGTACTGTTGTTTTTCTCTAAGTTCCTCTCTTTGGATGCAATAAATCTTTCACCTTCACACCAGAGAAAAACTCTATGAATAAAGTGGGAAACCTTTCAAATTGCAGGCAAGAAGAATTACAGTAGTGCAAGTCAGTGAAGCCGAAGAACCAAGTAACATATCAAAAACCAAGAAGAGATAGAATTTTGCAATACTAAAGTGAAATTGTAAGCAAATACTTCACATATGGTAGATGGACTACCTTGAAATACAAAATAGTAGCAGCACTCCGATAAAGAAGTAAAGAGGCATCTCAGTGCATTTAAATCCCCAAAAAGCATAAACGAATCGGTATATTGATCTGACTCCAATGAGAAGATGAGCATTTGGGTGAATAGTAATGAACTTCTTTAGATCCCGAGCCTAGATTGAATCATACCAGAATTGTAGAATGGAAGAAATAAATTGTATTAACAAAACTTGAAAAAGATAAGCAAGAAAGATCATCAAATCCTATCAAACTCTTTCGGGTAAGGAATGTTAAGCATGCTGAATAAAAAGTTCCACACGAAAATGGACTGCCATCAACAAATTTAAAATCTAAAATTGCTTCAGTGAAATCTTAGATAACTCCCATAACTCCATGCATATTCAGAAAGCAAATTGTAGTGGAACAACCGAGTATGAAGCCATGTTTAAGCTTATGTCCACCTAACCTTAAAGAGTACATAGAAACAAAACAAAAAACCCTCTAATAGAACAACCAAAAGATTAGCAAATAGCTAAATTACTAACCTGTAACAGCACCAAAGACAAGCCGATAGTCTCAGTAGCACATGAAAGGGAAAGCAAACCAACAAAAAAGTGACTGTGGTCCAGCAGGTCTACGGACATAAGAAGACCTGGAAATGTAAAATTTTCTTATTGCTTTGCAACTTCCTGTTTCAGCTCTGCAAATTTTCCCATGAATTTTCCCCTTTTGCTTCTTCCTTTGGTTTATTCTTCTTTTGTTTGAAATCTTCACCTTCTTCTTGGTGTCCCTTGCTTGAGTAATTTCATCATTTACTTAATAACGAAACAACGAACATATGAGGGCTAATAGTAAATCATAAAGAACTATCACTTTTACAAAACTATCAAACTCAAGAAAAACAATGCTTATCTCTTCTTAACAAATCGTTGTTACTGTAATGATTCAATCCAATCACCCTTTCACCAGGTAGTCCATCTGCTGCACAAATGTTGCTCACCATTGATTATGGGTCAAAGTTGCTGAGAAAATGCTTCTTTATCTCCTCTTGCAACAAATAGATCTCTGGCCTTAAATGTTGAAAGAATTCATGGCCAACATAATGAAACTGTGAAACTGTGTATGGCTAAGCAGGGAGAAAAGTGTACCCAGCTTCTTCCAAGATACGTAGGAAAGGAACAAACCAGATCCATGGCCTCTTACTGTGGAAACTTCATCCCTTCACTCAATCACTCCTCGTTTCAAATTTTGTCAGCAACTTTATCGTACCAAACTAAGATACTAAAAAGAAGAAACAAACATCACACTGTTATAATATACACTATAAAAACATTCTCTAATTTCAACCAAGCAACACCAAAATTAACATCTACAACCTAACCAAAATTAACATCCAGGGCCGATGTCACGCCATCACTGCACAACATAAAAACACAAAAATGCTTGCTAAGAACCCCATTCATGCCTGTAGGCAAACCTATCCCTAAAAGATAAATCAATCAGCCAATCCAATTCAGGATTACCATAAAGGAATTTGGAGATAAAACTTAATTACCATGGAAGTCCTGTGGCGCAGGAAGGAGAATTGGGTTGAGAGAAGTTAGAGACTGGTGATGATGATAAAGCTTCATATTGGCCCTGCTCGGGTAGTCAAGACTCAAGAGCTCGTCTTTGCCGCTGTCATCCTTGTCGTTAAGGCCGCTGCAAACAGGAACCGGACACCACCGCGGCGAAAAATTGATCAAGCTAGCTAGGTGTTGTACCCTTATTTTTTGACATACAGACCTCTCTTTGTCTCCCATCGCCGCACTGAGGACTGACGACCAACTGATCTCCAGTTGCGACTGAACAATGACGGGCGGTACATGTGCTTCCTCCGTCTGCGGGTTTCATGGCGGCTTGTTTATCAAGGGGCAAAGCACATTGAAGCCAGAGCTTCTCCCTTTGTTGCCGACACATGCTTACCCCAATCGAATGTCTCAATCATTGCCAAAGCGTCGTCGAGACGCCGACATCCTCTTCCTCACCATCTCAAACCAGATGAAAAAAGGAAGCCAGAATTGGAGGTGGCCGCTGGATTTTTTAGGGAATAGATGAGAGGTGGGAAGAGGATATGTATGAATGGAACTATGAAAGTAAGAAGGACCAAAGAGGTATGGGAGAAGGAAGGGAGAACTGATGGTTCAGACTTGAGCGATGGAGAGATGATTGGAGGGGGAAGAGTATAGAGAAGGGTTTGGTAGGAGAGGGAGCGGCAGAAAGAGAAGGGACAATATGCTTTTCCACCTTTTTTTATTTAAAGTTTTGGAGACGTTCTTTTACCCCCTGTTTCCGAAGGGAGGGAGGAAAATGGAGGGGAGGGGAAGGGAATTAGGAGGTGAGGGACAATTTAGAGGTTAAGGAAAATGAAAGGAAAATGGTGTTTTATGGAGGAAAGTGGGAAGGAAAATGTGTATTGGGAATTGTGATTGATGTGTTATTTTATTGATTGTGTAAGAGAAAATATGTATAGAATATATATTTTGTAAAAGAATATGAGAAAATGAATATTATGAATAGCCAACTTTATTATTATTTTACGCAACATATTTTGTTCATTTTAACTCCATTTAAAATTTTAGCATACATTTATAAATTATAAAAAATCTCATCTAACATATGAATAATAAGTAATAACATATAATTATCTTTTCCTAAAATTACTCTATAATTATCTCATCAACCATAAAAACAATAAATTAATTATAGCTTCTCCATTTGTTTTATTAAACAGCTCTAATAACCTTAATTTCAATGTATCATAGTTAAAATAGGAAAGAGGATTATTTGGCCGTTAAATAACCTTAATTAACCCTATCTCTTTTATTTTGTCTCCATGTCTCTCTCTCCCTCCCTCTCTCTCTCGTCCCTTTCTGTACAAAATAACAACTCCTAGATCTAGCTCCCTTCTGACTTTCTTTCTCCCTTCATTTTCCCAGAACAAAGGTCATCTCTTTTACTCCATCCATTCTTAAATTGAGATTTTTGTTATTGTTTTTGGGGTCCTGATTATGAGGAAACAAGAAAAACATATTTGGCGGTGACAGCCTCGATGATGCCTCTCCACGCCGACCTCGCCGGCGACCAATGGTGAACGGAGGAAGACAATTTTCCTTCTTTTATTTTTTTTATTCTTTCAATTGGGTTTTGATTGTTTATTTTTTTTCCATGTGTTTTGATCTATCAACATTGGATTTTGGATTCTGGCTTCTGGAGAAAGAAGAATGAAGAAGAAAGGAAAGTAAAGTAAAATGAGAGAGGAGAGGAGACTGTGTGCATTAAAAAGAAAAAAGAAAATTAAGCCCACTTTGTTTTCTCTCCATTTTGGAGGGGCTGGTGGTACAGTTACTTTTCCTTCCCCTCCTCACTATTTTTTTTTCGGGAACAGAGGAAAAGTTGTTGGGATTCCAACTTTCCTTCACTTCCCCTCCCCTCCCCTCCTTTCCCCTCCTAAAAAAACAGAGGGTTAGTGCTAGTACGTGACTGGAGAAGGCTGAAGATGGAAGCTCTTTCACTAAACGCCAAATATTGAAACAGTAGTAAGAATTTTGGGCAAAAACTGTACCCACTAATTATATATAAGAAGAATAAGAGCTTCATTCCTATCAAATCCATACCAACATAGACACCAAATAAAAATAACAAGTTGGATTCAAACAAATACGATTTATATATAACCAATCATCAAACATTACATCATCTAAATAACTTTTTCTCAAACTTTGTAATAATTTAACATCTCTATCCTTGTTTGATATTGAAATTTATTGCTATCGGTTTTATACATAGCTACCATGATCGAGCAAAATCAATTTTTTCGGCTTAGCACTCAGATAAGGGCTTCATTTAGCTCCTTTTCTTTGATCCGTGTGGAGAGGCAATGCTATAGAGGGGTGTAACAAGCTCTATTTGTTACCTCTATGCACATTCTTAAACGACACTTGATCCATCGTAGAACATAACAAAATTTTACCTGGTTGGTAACCATGATCGTATCCTCAAGGCCTCAGATAATTACTTCCTCAGATTGTAAGAGACTTGTTCTCTGGAGCTTAAAAAAATGTGGGGGTTGAGGTTCCCATTGGTTTTACCTTTTGATAAAAGAAGAAGAAAATGAAAGGAAACCTAAACTACTATAGGATGAGGAAAGCAAGAGAGAGAGAGAGAAAGGTGTTCATCAAGGCTTTCATAGTCAATCTAGGTGGGGGATCGATCACTCATGCAGAACTAGCGGGCATAGCTCACAAATTACGTATTGCTTGGGAGGCTGAGATTCGAAAAATTATGTTGTAGACAGACTCGACTACGATAATCAACCCATACCATCTTCATTACATGTTGGTGACCTCGATTCGTACTATGTTGGAGAGAGACTGCTAGATCCAAATTACTCATGCCTTCCGAGAAAGCAACAACGTGGCTGATTACTTGGCCTCTGTTGGCAATTCCTTACCTATCGTGATCCATATGTTTGATGCCCCGAGTCCTATACTGAGTAATTGGTTGTTCTTTGACACTATCGGGGTTCGTACCACCCATCTTATTAATGCTTAAGGATTAGAGCGCCCCATGCGATCTATTTCACACCATTTTTTTTTGTGAAATAACATTTTGGTAATTTTCTTTTATTTTTACAATTTTTTAAAAGTAGTTTTTTTAAGTTAGTGCTTGAGGGAGAAGAAAGGTTTCCCAGAGTACGAATTTTAATTTTCCAGCAAAAATTAATTCCGGCCGAAAAAAATTTCGGCAAGAAAACCCTTTTCAGTGACCGAGGACAGAGGTTCGGTCCTGAGTATCTTACTGGGACAGAATCTCGGCGGCCAATACTATATAGGGGATAATTGGTACGTGTCGGTATCCCAATACAAAATACTAAATTACACTATAAAAATTCAATGCAGTCCCATTCCCAAAATAAATTTGGTATTCCAATGCTAAAAGTTTCAATCACCCTATCGGTATTCTCAAGGATAAAATTAAGGGATAATACCGCTGGAAAACCCGAACTATGAAGAAAGTGTCACTTGTGTCCCTAACTATTCAATATGACATTTATGTCCTGAACTATTTTTCCGTTAGTGTTGACCAAGTTTGACCGTCTTCACTCAGTGTCGAAGTGGCATCTGATATGGAATTTTAAATATTAATTTTATTTATATTTTCATCTAAAATGATTAAAATAAGAAAAATTAAAAATAAAAGTTACAAAAATCTCCAAATCGTCTTAATCGCTTCGTCAATTCCGCTCCTAAGTCAACATCAAGTTGACCACCGTCCGGTCAACAGTTATGTATAACGGTTAACGAAATCGTCATAACATAAATGACACACAAATGATGCTTTCTTGATAGTTTAGATTTCCTAGTGGTATTAGCCCGAAAAGCACTTACTTGATAAAAATAATTAAATATAAAAAACATAATGTTTAGAACACTCCTAATCCCGAGTATTTTTCTAAATTTGTAGGTTTGCAGGTTTAACTTCGTGATTGAAAATTTAGTGATGAGAATTTGAAGTGAGAAAAGTATAATAAAGCTGATTGAAGTCTACATTGATTGGATTCGATCAAGTCTTCATTGAGCTGATTCATCATAGGTTCCCATTTCGGGCAAAGAGACTAGGCAATAAAGGGTCTTGAATTTTCCTAGAGCTAGAATATGGATAATCAGAAGCGAGGAGTTGGTGATATTAATTTCTCGTCATCGATAATCTTTAATTCGATGGAATGGAGGTTAAGATACGACTAATGCGAGTGCATGTTTTTTTATGTCATAAAATAGCAAGAGATTGAGTGAGAGATGAGAGTGACTTAAACTTGAGAGTAAAAATAGGGTTGGATGGGGGCTTGTCAGTTGTCAAAGAGTGAGGAATGACCAAAGGTTGTGTGCTATATTAAATAAATTTTTACTTTTTGTTGTTTCTTCCAATTTTGGTATATATCGATTTCAATCCCGTTATACCGCATACTGAATAGAACTCCAAAGTGAATCCCAATCTCAATCACTACAAATCATTCGATATTCGATAATAAAATATTTATAAATTTAGTAAAATATTCAGTATGTTCAAATACCGATACCAAACTTCAAACCCTAGCAGTAGAGGGAGGTGGAGAAGTTTGGAGTGCACGATTAAAGAGTAAAATGAACATATTCTCCAAACTATGATCGCGGTATATAGTAATTCGCGAAAAAATAGTAATTCACAGGAGGCAAATAATAGTTCAATTCGAATCTATAATTTCCCCCAATGAGCAATGATTTCTAAGAGTGGTGATTACTATGGACAAATTAGGTATGGAAAAAATATTAATTAATTAACTTTTTAAATAAATTACATAGTAGGAAATTACAAAAACATATTAATTAACAATTTCCGTTGTAATCACCATGATTATTAAAGGTAAATTAGATATGGAAAAATTTATTAATTAGCTTGTTTAATATATTATATTTTAGAAAATTGTAAAAATATATTAATTGAAAATTTCTCGCTATTTTTCTCACTTCCGTAATCTCCAGCCAAATCTCTCTTCTCCAGCCAGATCTCTCTTCCTTCTTTTTCTCAATTTTTTCCTTGTCTACATTCAGCCGAACTAATATCACTGCAAAAATAAAACAAGAAATCAATATCAATCCATTAAACAAACACTACCACTTCAAAGCGTTGGATGGAGAGGGATGGATGGTGAGGGTGGATGAAGGAAGGGGGACAGGAGGGGGGGGGGGGGGGGGGGGGGGGAGAGAGAGAGAGAGCGGGATGTATGAGGGTGGAAGAGGAGGGAGGGGTGGCGGAGGTCGGGCGGGTTGTCGGTGAGGAGTCTCGTCAGGTAGGGAGAGGGAGCAAGGGAGGCAGACGACTGGATTGTTAGGGCTGAGATAATTATTTAGAGTTTGGGAAAAATATATGAAAAACTATTTTTTTAAGAATAGTAATCTAGTGTGCTTCTTATTTTTTCCCCAAATTGATCCATAATAAATCAGAAGGTCAGTTTAAAAATTCTGAGAATAAAGGGTGAATATGTAGGTATTCACCATGACTACTAAAAAAATAGTAACTATTCCATTCTAATTCATCATGTGATTTCTAGTTTAGAATTGACTAGATCTAGACCAATTATTTTAGGTAGGGTCGAATTTAATGAGTGAAAATAATAAAAAAAAACTTTTTATTTTTTTAGTTTTTGTAAATTGTCTTTTATCTTTTTCGTCATAGTTTAGATTTCAATTTCTTTTTTGTCGTATTCGTTGTGAATTAAAAAATGAGTGCAAAGTTATAAAGATCGTTGACATCTTGCCTTCGAGAAGGCCATACCATAGAGTTGAATTTGATACAATAATCCGTCAGTTGGTGCTCCATCCTTATATCTGAACTTTTAGAATGGAGGGTTGAACTGCTATGTAAGTTGACATTTCGGTTTCCTTGGTCTGGTTTTCTCTGTTTTCACTACGGAAAGTTGAGCAAGAAGAAGATGGACGGCATCGATTATTGCGGTCGCCACAACACCGACGTCAACGGTGGTGAACTTGTTACACGCCGACCCACCAAGAGGCAGAGGTTAATTAACGATGATGTCCTGCAACCGAATAGGTACGACGTCTTCATCAGCTTCAGAGGAGTCGACGTGCGGAACTCCTTCCTCAGCCACCTCTACTCCCACCTTAATGATCATAAGAAATTGGCCGTCTACAAAGACGACGAGGATATCGAAAGAGGGGAGCAGATCTCGCCTGCACTCCTGCAAGCAATTGAGAGGTCCGAAGTTTATATTGTGATTCTCTCACCTAATTATGGCGATTCTCAATGGTGCGTGGAGGAGATCGAGAAGATCCACGAGTGTAAGGAACGGTTCGGTCGGAGGGTCATACCAGTGTTCTACGGTGTGGATACTTGTGCTTTCGAAGAATCGCCGTCTGAACGACTGAGGGAGATAGCCGGCAATTGTGGTTTGGATTCGCAGGTTATCAGGTATATCAGCATAAACTCAGATCTATGAATGAATAAATCAGTGAATTGATTAGTTAGTTAGCTGGTGTTCCTCTTTCATCATAACGTTTATTTTGTTATTCGCTTTCTTTCTTGTGGATTCACTTACAAACACCCTTAATTGCACATCTCACCCAGACCTGAAACCAAGCTCATTGAGGAAATCGCTGAAGCTGTATTCCAAGCAATACGCAGCAGCAGTCAGATGGTGAATTTTTCATCCTATTCAGATAGTAGAGGTTTAGTTGGAGTTGAGAGAAAGATCGAACAAGTAAAAGCCTTGGCTGGCATTGGAGGGAGATTAGGTAATAGATCGATTGGACTGTGGGGAATGCCCGGCATTGGCAAGACCGTTCTCGCTAAGGCTCTATTTGACAGATTCTCTTGTCAATTTGAAGGTTCCTATTTCATCAGTAATTTTGCAGACACGCTTGCTAGCGGGCGGTCTCTTCAGTGGGGCGGTGATCTGCAGAACGACTTCTTCTCGAGAGTGATGGGCTGTGAGAATCGCAGAGCTGGTGAATCGTTGCCCTATGATTGGACACTCTACCGCCTTGGTCGTAAGAGGTGTTTGGTCGTGATCGATGATGTGGGCAACGATGTGGGGAACATCCCACCATTAAACGATTTCTTGAATGGACAGTACTGCAATCTCTTTGGTCCAGGGAGTATAACCATCATTACCAGCAGGAACAAACAACTTCTTAAGAGTGCCTGTGATCATGTATATGAAGTCCAACCTCTATATCGTGAAGAAGCCCGTCAACTTTTCTGCTTGCACGCCTTCCGAGGGTTCGGCGTCCCAACCGAGTATAAAAAGCTGATACAGGAAGCTCTAAATCATACAGGTAGAAATCCATTAGCTATTGTTGTGTTGGGCTCACACTTGCTTGGCCGGGATGTCGAGTTTTGGAAGTCTGAGCTGGATGCTTTGCAAGATAGTCCCAATCAAGTGATTGAGAATTCGTTCAGAAAGAGTTATGATGGATTAAACCAAGCTGAGAAAGATGTATTGCTTGATATTGCATGCTTCTACCAATACTGGAGTTCTAGTTTCAAGAAAATATGGGATTCCTTGTTACAAGGCAAGGATGCGAATATCATTACTCACCTTATTGATAAGTCTCTTTTAATGATGACCTCTGCTGGTGGTATAAAAATAGAAATGAATAAGTTGCTAATAGACATTGCTCGCAGCCTTGTCAATAAAGAAGGCCATATTGGAAAACGTTCGAGATTGTGGAAACCTAAAGATATACGTTATCTCTTCAAGCACAAGAAGGTATATACCTCAATCATTTTATTTCCTGATAAACAACTATTGCAGCTCATCTATTTTCACCTTTTTTTCTTCTTCTTTCTATAGAGTTCATTTTTGTTTTCTTCGAATATAAGGTTGTATTCTCTATTACCATTGACCACTAATAAGGTTGTCTGAAAATATGTCAATAATATTATGAGCTGAAGTTCTATTGCAAATCCATTAAAGTAACTTATAACGAACAAGTGATTGATCTAGTGGTAATACCATTAGTTTTGAACCGGAAAGTTGCAGGTTCAAATCTTTTAAATAATACCTAACAATAAAAAGCAAATCTATATCACACTTATAAAATTAAAATAAAAACGGATGAATGTACCTTCTTTACTGGGTTTTAGAGTTTGGACTAATTAGTAACAGAGAGAGATTTTTTTTGCTATATCTGGTTCGGTTGATTGGCCAGACTTGTAATGTTGAAGTAGAAATGTTCAAAGAAATGGCTAATTCAATACTACATTTTGAGGTCGTTCGGCTGAGTTGATGGTTTAAATGGGGTTTTGTGCCACATAAAGAATTCTTTTGTGACACTATATTTGAGAAGTAAGGGTGATCTAAATTCGAGAAGTGTAAGTTGAAGGGTAAAATATAAGAGTTTAAATTGTAAGTAGGTGTAAGTGAATCACTAAGTGGCTATTAAAATTACTTTACAAACCATCATCCTAATGTAAAAGTCCTAATACAAACCATCATCCTAATACAAAGCTAGGTGATAAAATAAAATAAAAAGTTAAAAATATCATAATAGATTGTTGCTTCGTGTATGTTGACTCAAACCCAATGATAACATATTAACATGCAATACTCAAACCCTAACTTGCAACCAAAATAGTTTGTTGGTCCTTGTATACTGACCCTAACATGAGTTAGTCAGCATTGTTGATAAACCAATGATCAAACTAGTTGGTTCAATCAGTCCCGCCTATAACCTCCCTGAAATAGAATGGGAGAACTAAGTTTCTATTGATCAATACAAGTACATATATATAGCATAAGGGAAAGCCAAAACATAGTAGCTACTCTAATTATAATTAGTAATGGGATTGTAGGTGGTAATGAGATTGTAGGTGAGGTGTAGTGGCTATGGCTACTCTATCACGTCCCCGCAAGTGAAACCTCAGAGAGGTGAAACTTGGATACAAAGTTACGAGATGGCAGGCGAGAGAGAGGTTTGGTAAGAACATCTGCCAATTGATCCGTGGCTGGTAAATAACGAACATGCAGCTGACTCTTGTTAACCCGATCACGAACAAAATGAAAATCGATCTCGAGATGCTTGGAACGTGAGTGAAATACGGGATTATGAGCCAAGTACGTTGCACCTAAGTTGTCACACCAGAGAACAGGAGATGTGGGTAAGGAGCAGCCGAGTTCTGTAAGTAAAGCCTGAAGCCAAATAACTTCTGAGGCCAAGGTGGCCAGCGCCCGATATTCGGACTCGGTGGAGGATCGAGCCACTGCCTTCTGTTTGCGGGTGGACCAAGAGACCAAATTTCCACCATAAAAAACAACAAATCCAGTAATAGATTTGCGATCCTGTGGACAGGAGGCAAATGATGCATCAGAGTATCCATGAAGCATCGGAGATGAGGAACGGCAAAATTCTAGGCCTTGAGTCATGGTTCCTTGTAGATAACGAAGGATACGCTTCACGGCAGACCAGTCAACTTCCGTAGGAGCTTGCTGAAACTGAGAGACATGATTGACAGAGAATGAAATATCTGGACGCGTGAAGCTTAAATATTGAAGACCACCCACAATGCTTCGATACAAACTTGGATGGGAGAAGGCAGAAGAGGTATCTTTAGCACTTTGTTGAAGCTGATCGGCAGTACAAGGTGTAGAAATAGACTTGGCTTCAGACATACCAGCCCGTTGGAGAAGCTCCTGAATATATCGTCGTTGACTGAGAATCAGACCAGTAGATGTATGATGGACTTAAGGCCGAGGAAATATGACAAGGTACCCAGATCACAAAGAGCAAAACGTGATCGAAGAAAGGCCATTAGGCGCTGAATAGCGGCAGATCTGAACCTGTGATCACAATATCATCGATGTAGACCAACATATATATTGTAGCTGCCCCACACTGATAGATAAATAATGACGGATCTGTCTTGGAAGGACTAAATCCAAAATCAATCAAAGTCGAGGACAGACATTGAAACCAGACCCGAGGCGCTTGACGGAGCCCGTAAATGGATTTTTGGAGTCGGCAAACATAGTCCGGTTTGTCAGGGTCAACAAAACCAATCGGCTGCTGCATATAGACTTCTTCTGGAAGATTGCCATGGAGAAAAGCATTTGATATGTCAATTTGATGCAAAGGCCAAGAACGAGAGACAACAATACCTAAAATGAGGCGCAGGGTTGCCGGCTTGAGAACAGGACTAAACGTCTGAGAGAAATCCACCCCTGGAATTTGCTGGAAACCGCGAGCAACTAAGCGCGCCTTGTAGCGTTCAATTGAGCCCCCCGGATGAGTCTTCAATGCAAACACACAGCGATTGGTGAGGATGTTGCAATTGGGTGGTGGGGGAACAAGATCCCAAGTATGATTGCGGAGGAGAGCGTCGAATTCGGCAGTCATGGCAGCTCGCCATTGGGACAGTATGAGAGCCTGAGCAGCAGTCGTGAGGAGCACGGTGGAAACAGAGGCAAGAAATTGCTTCGATTTGAGCTTCCCAGTCTGCAAGCGTGTCACAATGCGGCGTGGGGAAGGAGGAGAGGAAGGAGGGATAATACGGGGGGAGGTATTGAAGGGTGGACGAGAAGAAAGGGGGGATTGTCGATTGCTGGGATGTGGTGAGGCGGCAATAGAGTGAGGTGGAGGTCGGAATGAAGGGTGATGGAGGGTGGTTGAAGTCGTCGCCGATATTGAAGAATCGGACGACAAGGTGTGGTGGAAGAGAGTGGAGGAATGGAAGAGTGGGCTGGTTGTGGTGTTGTAAGGTTTTGCGTGCCGGGTGAGGAGTACGGGCCTGGAGAGGATGAGCGAGGTGGGGAATCAGAACGGGCTGGGCCCGTTGGGGAAGGTGGATCAGGAATAGGGGAGAAGTAATGTGGGCCTGGGTTAGACGATTGAGGTTTTGTAGGAGGAGTGGGTGTGGGTAAAGAGAGAAGAGGAAAAGGATTGGGTAGCATAACATCGTGGGTGAGAAATTGATCCATAATTGTAGTGGTGGATGGGTCGGGAGAGCTAGTGGAATAAGGGAAGACGGACTCGTTCTAATCCTATCTCCATCAATGGAGATAGGATTAGAACGAGTTAGAGAGCTCACAGAAAGAAGATTTTGGGGAGCATTCTTGACACGAAGAATATTATGAAGAGCATATGAGTGATTTGAAAGAGTGACATTGGAGGAACCAGAATGAGAAATAGGAAGTTGATTACCATTGTCAAAGGTTACGTGATCGGTGCCATTATATTCAGAATGATGCGCCAGATTATCTAAATCAGAAGTGAGGTGATGATTGGCCCCAGAATCAAGGAGCCATTGTTGGGAGGTGTGGGCTGTGTGGGACGAGTGAGCGAGGTGTGAAGCAGGGCTAGGGTGATGGGTGGGCTGGGTCGGAATTAATGGGCTTGGACAATGAGGCTTTATGTGTCCTCTTCCCCTACAATTGTGACAATAAATGGGTTTTGGACCAGAGGGCCCAACACCTAATACACCTGCAGAAGTGGGCTCAAACATAACATTTGGGTTAGAGGAATAAAGGGGTCGAATTGGGCCTGGAGAGCCTCGGCCCGTAAAGCGACTGCCACGGCCGCCACGTCCACGAGGGCTGGTACACCCCCTTCCTCCCCTGAAGTTGTATCCACCGGCAAAGAACGCTTGGGGTCCAACGGCGCCACCAGCAGCAGTGAAAACGCCGAAGTTGCATCTCCTCGCTAAGCAGGAGACTGCTAAGATCTTCAAAGGTGAGCGGTTCGAGCCTAGCTTCCAGATTCAGGGTAAATGGGCGATACTCTTCATCCAAGCCGTCCATCACGGCGGTGACCAGCTCTGTCTCAGTAATGGTAGCACCCAGAGCCACCATTTTGTCGAAGAGAGTCTTGGCACGCTGGAGATAGTCGTGGGCGGAATCTGTCCCCCGTTGGATGCGAGTAAGCTGCTTGCGAAGTTGGCCAATAATGACCGCCGAGCCAGAACCATAGATGCGTTCCAACGTATCCCAGGCAGCTTTGGCTGTGGTCTTATTGACGATGTTGGGCATAACTGCCTCTGTCAAGGACAGGTTAATCCACACCAAAGCCATCTGGTCACGTTCATACTAGGTCTGAAAGGTAGAATTGGGTTGATTTTCAATCGTCTCTGGTGGTGCAGGAAGAGTGCCGTCAACGTGGCCGATGAGGCGATGACATCGAAGAAGTGGTTGAAGCTGGGCTTTCCATAGAAGGTAATTGGTCGGATTCAATTTCACAGAGAGTTGTGGATTGGAGGGTAAAAAGAGAGAGGTAACAGCGGAGGAAGAAGACGAGGAGAAGAAGAAGAGGTTGTGGAAGTTGTCGACATGGTGAAGCAGTAGAAAAACAAAGGCAGAAAGAATAAGGAGAAAAAAAAAACAGAACTCGTTGGAGTTTACTAATGCTCTGATACCATGAAATAGAATGGGAGAACTAAGTTTCTATTGATCAATACAAGTACATATATAGCATAAGGGAAAGCCAAAACATAGTGGCTACTCTAATTATAATTAGTAATGGGATTGTAGGTGGTAATGGGATTGTAGGTGAGGTGGGATTGTAGGTGAGGTGAGGTGGGATTGTAGGTGGTAATGAGATTGTAGGTGAGGTGAGGTGTAGTGGCTATGGCTACTCTATCACTCCCATCATCACTCAAAATAATTGAAGACCTCTTCATTTTAACAATTTGATAAAGTGACCAGGTCAGCTTTCTTCTCACTCTTTTCCCCGCACACACTCCCTCTCTCGACTATTCACTACAAATTAGAGTCAATTTAGTTCAATGCAATTCAAGCAGGTTAACCTTGACTCACTAGTTAGACCGAATCAATATTTGAAATTAAAATGATAACTACAATTAAAAATATAATTATAGTATAAAAATATTATTTTTCAATAATATTATTTTTATATTATAATTATCAAATAAAATATCAATATCAAAATTAAAATTAAAATCACATCATAACTTTTTTTTATACTTTAATTCCCCACACCTCCCTCTCCCTCTTGAATTGGGAGAGGTTGGAATATTCATAATTGACCAAACAAGTGCGAAATTCTTTATGTTTGCACCCCTCCCGTTTTACACTATCATGCTATCTGAGTTGATTAGTTTGTTGGTGATTGCAATTAATAGGGAGGGGAATCCATTGAAGGCATTTTTTGGGATTATAATAGGGAGAAGCAACCTGACATCTACATACAACGTGATGCTTTTGTCAAGATGGAAAATCTGCGGCTACTTGTGATCCGTCATACTACAGCTTGCAGTTTCATTTTGCCTGAGGACGGGTTGAGATGTCTACCTGATACACTGAGAGTTCTTGATTGGGATCATTTCGGTACAGAATGTTTGCCACCCCGATTTTCTTGCGAGAACCTTGTTATACTTCGTCTGTATTCCAGCAAACTTGAGCGACTTTGGGATGATGAAGCTAATGTGGTATGCGTTGCTTGATCCAATTATGTGATTTTTTCATGTTTAAATCGCACTTGTTCCTCGTCCGCCCTGCTAATTTTCCTGTTACAGGAGTTGGGGAATTTGAAATCCCTTGGTCTTAGCAGATCTGAGTGCCTCAGAAAGTTGCCTAATCTCTCTACGGCTCTGAGACTCGAGGAAATTTATCTTGAGTACTGTGTCAGCTTAGTTGAGCTTCCCACATCAATTCTGGATCTGCCCAAGTTGAAAACTCTGGATGTAAGTTTCTGCAGGAGCCTAGACTTGAATAACTTGGAATACTATGCCGATGATGGCGGAGAACAGAGTGGGCAACATGATCAAGTCATATTTCCCAGCCTGAAAAAATTGATCGTAAGTTGGACCCCAATCCAGAACATTCCTAATTTCATTACTCGCTCTCATATTTTGAAACTGGATTGTGGATCCTGCAAGCTGGATAAATTTCCAGTCATCCCAAGCCTGGAGTCCTTAAAGGCGGGCTCTTGTGGCTTCGAAGAGGTGATTGAGTTGGGCAAGTTGACCAAGTTGAAGCGGCTGGATTTGAGCTACAACTATCACCTCATCCATCTCTCGGCTGAATTTTATAAGTTGGAAGCTCTTGAAGAAATTGATCTGTCTTATTGCGACAGCCTGGAGGAATTTCCAGAGATCTTGGAGGCTATGGAAGCTGTTGAAGTGCTTAACTTAAGTGGATGCAACAGTCTATCAAATCTTCCCAACAGCATTGCTAATCTAGTACATTTGGGTAGTCTTGATCTAAGTTACACAGACATCAGAGAGCTGCCGCTATCCATTGTTGATCTCACGCAGTTGACCATATTGCGCCTCAACAATTGCCTATGTCTTACAAGCCTTCCCGACACCATGAACCAATTATATTGCTTACGTACTCTCGAGCTAATTAGATGCTATGAACTGAATCATTTACCGGAACTTCCTCCAATGTTATACAAACTGACGGCACAAGGCTGCTTGTCACTTCAGTCCTTTTCATTCGAGAATCAGGACCTCATGATTGTAGAATGGAACTTTGGGGACTGCCTTGACTTGGATGGAGAAGTATGTAGTAAGCTTGTCGATAAGGTACATCTTTCTCTGTCCCTCTCTCTTTCTAAATTTCAGACTATTAATAGTTTATCATCATTAATCATTAGTAGGATTGTAGGAATGCGAGTGAGTAGATATGTTGGGTAGTTTATTAATCTTACTAATCTATGTGGGTATTGGGTCGGATTTAAATAAACATATTCTGCATTTTTAATGATTTCATGTTTGAATTGGGTCCGATTTGAATTGACTCATTTGAATCGGAGCTAAATAAACCTAAACGATTGTACACAAAAAAAACAATATTGACAATATCATTAATTATCTTCAACCTAAATACACCCTTAAAATATTGCTGTTTCTACTTTTTAGTTTGTTCCATGACAAAAATAAGGCAACAATTGTCTTAGAATCAAATGTCCAAATTTTTATTTTTTTTTTGTTACCCAATACTTCCAAGTCCAATTTAAACTCAAATTAATTAGGTATGGCTATGTCCCAAAAGTAAAATTAGCCAATCTTTATTTGATTTGGGTTTGGACAATAGCTCTCGCATCGCGTAATGTTTCATTTATTTTTGCATTATGAATGCAGTTCATCCAGGCATCAACTCGAAGCGCCAATGGTGCGAAACTGATACTCCCGCCAACAATGGATAGCAGTAGTGGTGATGGGGAAGGAAATCTGGTGACGACAGAGTTGCGGGGACAACCATGGGAGTTGAAGTTGAAACTTCAGAGACGATTTGGGGATTTAGGTCAAAAAAGGGGAAGACGACTGCTCGACTGAAGTCGCAGGAAGAGAAAGGGGAAATGAAATTCCCGTCTCGGTTTTGGCTGAGGTAACCAAACGAGTGGGCTAGAAAAGAGACACGGGCCCAATCAAATGAAGTCCAAAAAATAAAACGTTCAAGCCCACTAGATTAACAGTTCTCTGTTACCGAACTCAGTCCACTTCTGGAAATGCAAAACCAGAAGAGAAACAGAGCATCTCCAGAGCAGAGAATCGAGAAGGAAACTTGGAGGAAGAAGAAGAAGAAGAACACTGAACACAGGACGTTTTTAACGTGGTTCGCCCAAGTGCAATGGTGTACTTCCACGTCCCAGAATATGGTCTGGGAGACCTTTTATTAGATTTTCAATTTTGACAGAAAGGAACACTAAGAACAAACAAGAAGAACACAAACAAAGTAAATGCAGAGTGACCGAAAGTAAAAACACACAACCCAGATCAATCCTTGATCTGTATCAGCCTTGATGAATGTTGAACCTTTGCCTCAACTATTCATCAATCCCTTTTGTAACCACTTGCCAAGTCCTTTCCCACTCGAGCTCTTACAAAAGTGCCCTGTACACAAACATGGTCAGCCATATATATAGAACATCAAGAATTAGCCGTTGGGAACAACTAAGGAAACTCAAGGAAGGTTTCCTTAAGTGAAATCCTGTAATTGAGCAACGGTCACAATTGCAAGCTCAGACTTTCCCAAAGAGCTTCAACAGCTCCAACAATCTCCCCCTAAGTCGGAGATTGCAGATGCTCAAAGACCTGCAAACATCACAAAACCTTTCCACACAGGATCAAGCAGCACATTTCATAACACAGGAACGTTTAACAAAAGTCTGACTTAAACAAGCAACAAACTATCACAAGCAAATCCTCGTTCTCAAAGAACTCCCCCTGAGTAAAAAAACATGACCACTGAACCAAACAAAAATAGAGACTCAGACTGAAGCTAGGGATCAGAGCTGTCGTCAGAAGATACAGGATCATTCGGGGCAGCTGCTGCGAAGGGTTCAACATCAGATTCAGAACTTGAGCCATACAGATCTTGGAGAGCAGCAGCAAACGGAGCAATGGGAGCTTGAACTTCTGGAGCTTCTTGATCAACAGAATCTTCCCCGTCTGCAGCCTCATTTTCTAGCTCAAAAACACTGCCATCTAGCTCTGAATCATCTAGCTCTGAATCACTGCTGATCCAGTGAACAAGGGGACCATCCTCCCCCTCAACTGCAATCCCGATTTCATTGAGGACGTCATCCGCATTAAGCCACAGAGAGGGAGTCTCAGTACGATAGGCTGAGAGATTTAGAGGCAGGGCAAGCAGGAGACGAGTGATCAAAGCGCCAAAAGGTAGTGGAGCATGAAAGTTATGATCTATGAAGGGCAGAAGGGCTCCGAACAATAAGTGCGAAAAATCCAAAGGAACCGCAGCAACAGCATGGGCGAGGATCCACAGGTCAAGGGGAAGAACTCTATCAAGCAGGATAGATCGAGGGAGGAACACCCTAGTGAGCAGATAGTGAAAGGTTTGCAACGAGGGTGGAAGGAGGCCAGAGGAGAAGGTATGGTCATGATCAGGTTCGTGGCCAGTAAGGTGAACAGTCTCTGTGACAATATTGAAGTTGAACAGAGACAGTTCAGAAGGATGGGCAAGGGCTTCCCCAAAAGCTGGTATATGAAGCAGACGACGAAGATCATGAAGGGGAAGGGTAATCATGTGACCATGAACAAGAGATGACAAGGTACGAGACTGAAGGCCAAAATATCGGAGATTTGAATAAAAATGCCGTACTGCCTCAGGACAAATGATGGTGGAAGCTGCCTCAGGAGTCAGCAGGAATTCCCATCCGAGATTATGAATAAAAGGCAGTACATCTAGCCCTAGGGGAACAAAATCAGGAAGATTGAGAACAGTAGCAGGGCTGATGGGACGGTTGGCAAAGGACTGAGTGTGACGATGATAGTTGGCTAGAACGGGCTCATGGAACCAGGTTCCAGAGTACGTAAGGGCGAAAGCATAGACCATGGGTGACACAGGGAGGACACACACTCACAGGAAACTAAGAGGAAAACACTCAACACAACTGACACAAACAACACAGAGAGCTCGAAGACTAAATAGACTCAAAAAGGGACAAGAAAAGGAAACAATCAACAGACAATTAAGACACTAAACAAGGAAAGTCACGCACAGAAAAAAAATCATATCAAACAAACATAAGGAAAGAAAAGAACAAAAACAAGGAAGGCTTACAGAACTACTGTTCTGTAATCATGGTAATGGAGGAAAGAGATCTCAAACCAATTTCAAAGCAGAGGAAGTTGAATCGATCTGCCAGAAGAGGTTTGGTGAAAATATCCGCAAGTTGAAATTCAGTGCTAATATATTGCAAGTTTATGACCCCAGAATTTACCAAGTCACGAATGAAATGATACTTAACATCTATATGTTTAGTGCGTGAGTGGTGCACAGGGTTTTTGGACATGCATATAGCACTAGTGTTATCACAAAATAAAGGAATGGAAGATTGAGTAATGCCATAGTCCTGAAGTTGACTTTTAAGCCATAATAGTTGAGCACATGTGCTGCCAGCAGCAATGTACTCAGCTTCGGCTGTAGAGAGAGCAACAGCTCCCTGTTTCTTGCAGGACCATGAAACTAACGAAGTACCTACAAACTGGCAACTACCTGAAGTGCTCCTTCGATCAACCAGACTACCAGCATAATCAGAGTCGCTGTACCCCATTAGATCAAACACCTCATGTTTAGGGTACCAAAGTCCTACATCTATAGTACCCTTGAGGTATCTAAAGATTCTTTTGACTGCTGACATATGACTTTCCTTAGGATCTGACTGAAAACGAGCACATAAGCATACACTATGCTGTATGTCAGGTCGGCTGGCCGTTAGATAAAGCAAGGATCCTATCATCCCTCGATACTTTGATTGATCAACTGGTATACCAGTTTCATCTCTATCAAGTTTAACATTTACTGCCATAGGTGTAGGGCTTGAGTTCAATCCAGTCAAATCGAATTTTTTAAGCATAGAGGAAATGTATTTTGATTGATTTATGAACATACCATTGTTAAGCTGTTTGATTTGGAGTCCAAGGAAAAATTGAAGTTCCCCCATCATACTCATCTCAAAGTCAGCTTTCATGGCATTACAGAAATCAGAACACATGTCCTTACAAGTAGCACCAAAAACAATATCGTCGACATAGATTTGCACTAGGAGAATGTCTTTGGATTTCCTTTTAATGAAGAGTGTTTTGTCTACTGAACCTTGATCAAAACCATGTTCACAAAGAAAGGATGTAAGTCTGTCATACCAAGCTCGAGGAGCTTGTTTTAAGCCATACAGAGCTTTCCTTAGTTTATATACATGGTCTGGAAACTGAGTATTAACAAACCCAGGAGGTTGAGAGACATACACTTCTTCCTGAATTATTCCATTTAAGAACGCACTTTTTACGTCCATTTGGTAAAGAGGAAATCCCATATGACTAGCATAGGCACACAACAACCGAATAGACTCAATCCTAGCTACAGGAGCGAAGGTTTCATCGTAATCCACCCCTTCTTCCTGTGAATATCCTTGAGCCACTAGTCTGGCTTTATTTCGGATAATGACGCCTATTTCATCAGATTTATTTCTGAAGATCCATTTAGTTCCTATAACAGATTGATTAAGAGGACGAGGAACAAGATCCCAAACATGCAGCAACTCAAACTGAGCTAATTCCTCAATCATAGCAAGTGACCACTCACCATCCTTAAGAGCTTCTATATAGTTCTTTGGTTCAAATTGAGACACATAGGCATATTGGCCAGGAGTGTACTTACCTCTGGTACGAAGGCCATCATTTAAATCTCCAATGATTTGCTCAGTAGGATGTCGCTTCTGAATATGTGGAGGGGCTGATGCCGTTTTGATAGGAGGATTTGTCTCACTATTTGTTTCTGGATCTTTTATAGTAGAACCTTGTTCTCCAGAGTTGAACTTACTGGTCTCAGTTACTGACTCGACAGGTGCTCTTATCAATTCCAGCATGTCATAATCCTGCACTTCCTGATCAGAATCCTTAACTTCAACGTGAGAGTCATTAAATATAACATGGACCGACTCCTCTACCTTCTGAGTGCGTTTATTGTAAACACGAAATGCTTGACCTTTTATGGAATATCCTAGGAAAATAGCTCTATCTGATTTGGCATCAAACTTTCCCAGTCTGTCCTTGGTGTTTAGAACGTAGCAAGGACATCCAAAAGGATGCAAGTAAGAAAGATTGGGAGTTTTATTTTTAAAAATCTCATAGGGAGTCTTATCCAATCCTTTAGTGACTAGAACACGATTTGCTAAATAACACGCAGTGCTAACTGCCTCGGCCCAAAAGAATTTTGGAAGGTTGTATTCGAGAAGCAAGGTTCTGGCACACTCAATGAGTGTCCGATTCTTTCTCTCAACAACTCCATTCTGTTGAGGCGTCCTAGGCGCAGAGAAAGTATGCACAATTCCAGACTCATTGCAGAAAGACTCAAAATCTTCAGAAACAAACTCTCCTCCATTGTCACTCTTAACAGTTTTGACTTTATCAGAGTATAGGGAGATGAATGTTTTGAATTTTGAGAGAGTATCGTCCTTGTGAGCAAGGAAATATACCCAAGTGAATCGAGAAAAATCATCAACCAAAACAAACACGTAGTTCTTTCCACCTAGGCTAGTGACATTACATGGACCAAACAGATCCATGTGAATCAGCTCAAACATTTCATGAGACGTAATGTCAGCCTTGAGTTTAAAAGATTTCTTGGTGTGTTTTCCACTAACACACGTTTCACAGAAGAAATCATTTTTGTCTTTTAAAACAGGAACTCCTCTGACATGTTCTGATTTAGTTAAGCTGACCAGTTTAGGTAAACTGATATGTCCCATCTTTCGATGCCACAGAAGTTCTTGTTGAAATGAAGATACAAAGCATAGCTCATTAAAGGCACCAAT